GTCTTGCAGGGTGGGAAGCTGGAAGTTTTCAAGGGGGTTGAGGGTTGTAAAGGAGCTGGGGGGCACAGAACTGAGCCGTGCCGGGTTTGGTAGGGGGGTGTCATTCCAAGACCGTCCTCGCAGCAGGGTCCCTCTTGAAGAAGGAACTTAAAGGGCTTCCGTACCTCTAGGTATAGGTGTGCATCCCCAGCTGTAGATATTTTTGAGGTTTTTCCCAGTTGCAGCTCGAACAAAGACGAGCGCCAGCTCCGCTCCCCACCCCCGCCCATACGGCGCAGCGAGCCGGGATAACGGCGCCGAAATGGGCCGAGATGCAGCCGAGGAGGAGGGTGGAGGGGAGATGGAGCCCAGCCCTGGCAATGGCTGATGGAGCAAAGTCAGGGCAGAGCGACTCGTGATTCTGGCTCCTGCTGTCCCACCTACAGCCTGCTTTGGGGCAGGCTGGGGTGGCCAGTGTGTGGGGACGTGACCTCCAAGGGACCATGCCCTGTGGAGCACATCTTGGGGCTGCCACTGAAGCTGGGGAGAAGAAGCTGGGGAGAATGTGCATCCTGTTGCTGGGCAGTTAAAACTGCAAGTTGTCCAAGAAGCAAGGTCTGCAATCCCCACCTTCCCATCGAGACTCCATTTCTGGCTATCCAAACTCCATGGGGCTCTGCAAAAACCCCGTATTGTTTCCATATGTCGGTGCTTTGAGAAGCCAAAGAGCAAACAAGGAGAGTTCTTGGCCCCCCAGAGCCCCTGCTCAGGGAAGACAGATCCTTCTTGTCTCCTGAGGACATCAGTGAGAAGAACCTCATTGTTTGCTACCCTTCCCCATGGGGTCCGGGAAGCAAACTGGCAATTCAAGCGTTGGTTCTCCATCAGAGCCCAGCTGGCACGAGCTCAGTTCCAGTTGGGAGGATGGGCTGGCCAGACAAAAGCAGTAAGGGGTTTCACTTCCCCCCCTCCAAAAAAACCTTTCAAGCTTTCAAGTAAGTTCTTAGTCAGGCAAAAACGGTTTGTTGCCAGTAGCTTTATCACTTCCAGCACATTCAGAGAATTTTTTTTCAGAAAAACTTACCCCCTGCTCAAAGTGCCCTGAAGATCTGATGTATGGTGTATAAGGATCTTTTCCAAGAGCAATGGAAAAGGAAAGAGCTTTTGGCATAGGGACGGAGTGGAAAAGCTGCTGAAGCAACAGAATTTTTCACTGGTGCTGTTGAGCTTCAGAGTGGGCGCTTTTAAAGGTGGTGGTTTTTTTTTTGTTTTTTTTTTTTTCTCCTCCCTGCATTGCTCTTTGCAGGAATGGCTTCAAGCTCTTATCTGAGGAATTCCCCCAAAATGATCCGCTCTGTTTTGGGAGCAATTTGTTGCTCTGAGGAGCCGAGCAGCAAACAAATAAACACATAAATTCTTCCTCTGGAAGGACACTGCATTTTCTAGTTGGTGAAAGAAAGGCTTCCCTTTTGCATTGTTCAGTCTTGGGCTTTTTTTTTTTTCCTCTTTTTTTTTTTTTTTTTTTTTTTTTGTAGCCTTGACTCCAACTCTTTGCTCTGTCTCCAGCTGCTTAAAATAATTCTGCCACCCATCTTGTGCCTTTTGTTTAAAACACTCAGCCTACTTGCTCTCTTTAACTCTGCAGTGGGTTGTTTAGTTATCTGGCTTGCTGAGGCAGAAAGTGGCACTAGTTATGACTGCATATTTCCTCTCTTAAACTACGCTGAAAGACCCGCTTCTCCTGGAAAGATTTTGTCTGTATTAAAACAAGGGCTAATAGGTAGGTGTCAGAAAGAAAAACATGGGGACAGGTAGGAGATGCTGCGGCAGGAGCATAGATTTAGTCAAGTGGCAGAAAAAATTCATGCCTAAAGGCACTTTTATGTGCATGTACAAATATTTCTGATGTATTTGTATCTGGAACCTCTGAGCCTTAATGAGTAGCACTGCACCACTCGACTTGTGCATTCAGCATAGTGAGGAAATACATATGGGGACATACGTCCTGCCATAATGCCCACAGAAGGAAGCCTGTAATCCACTTCATTCCTGGTTGCAGATGATTCCTGTGAAATGGGATGAGTCAGTTTGCCTCCTCACCTTTGCCCTCAGGGTAGTTGTGAGGAGGAGGGTTTAGGACAGGTCACCATGACCTGAGACTTAAAAGCAGAAACATGCTGGGGACAAGGGAGCAGAAGAGAGCTGGGCTTTACTCCAAGGTCCCAGACTGAGTTTTGGCAAATGAGGTCAAAAATGCCACCCGTGGAGGGCTCAGCAGGGGACAATGACAGCCTGTAGGCTCAATGGCTGGCTCCATCCTCCTCCTCTCATAGGTCCTGAGACAAGGTCCACTGACGAATCTCTCCTGGGGCTTTTGACTCAACTGGTGGCCCTGTAATCCTGGGTGCTGGGTGTAGGTTGTGGCTGCAGCATTGGCATGCTCAGGTAACTTGGTTTCGTTTCAAGGATCGTTGCAGACTGATGATTGTTGGAGGATGTATGAGGCAGTCCAGGAAATTCTTGCTTAGGGGGTTGTGGTGTTAGCTTCATGGAGTCATCTGGCTGCCCTGGTGTGATACTCAGGATCTCTTGCTAGCCTGCTTTAATCCGTTTCCCTGAGATTACGTTTTTGTTTTCTTTCCCTTCCCTTGGCCATGGCTGCTCAAAAGTCATTCCTCTGAAAACAATTGCTATTTTTATTTCAATTCTGGTAAAAAGCTTTTCTTGAGAGAAGCAGGATTGAGAAGAACCTCAAGAGGTCATGCAGAGTGGGACAGCTGATGACCAATATTTGTCCCACATGTTCTTCAAAATGCTCCATGACAGGGTCTGCTGAGGCTCAACGAGCTCTCCCAGGGCTTCACCAACTTCATCTTCTTAAGATAAGCTGTTTGTGGGGGGGCTGAAAGAGGCAGGAGCGGAAATGATGCTGCCTTGCCCTTCCCATCCTGAATCAGCCTCCACTCCTATTTGCATCCTGTACACACAGAAGAGAAAGGCAGTGCCTTGTGGAAGCACTTGCTGTCTGAGCGCTAAAAAATCAGAGGCTGTGAAGCAGTGGGAACAGACCTGATCTGTCTGCATATGTAGGTCAACAATTGCAGTGTGGATGTGATGTTCTTATATGTAAAAATACAGAGAAGATCATTCATCCACTGCAAAGTGCATGTGTCCCTGCTGAGTCACTGGTCCAGGCTGTTTTTGCAACTATTTCCCACCACTGAATGCTGTTTTTGAATCTTTCCTCTCGGGCAGAAATGAAGGATGGGAGATGGGAGCTACCTGGTGCAGCCCATCCTGCTGGTGTACGGTAGACCCATTTTAGAGGACCTGCCATGGAGGAAGGCATGCTTTTTTTTGTTATCCCCTTGCTCCAGATGAAAAATGTTGGTTGCATATCCTCCTTCCACAGTGCTCTGACTGCCTGGGTCGTGAAGCAATTCAAGTCCTTGCAGGTCTTTGCTGCAATGCTGGGCTTGCTCTAGCTGAGAAATCGTTTCCACCATGTGCACTAGCTCAAGTGTAGCCTGGACTTTGTGTCCTGCTGCCAAAGGCAGGCAGGTCACGGAAAGCTCGAACCCATGATTGAGCCTGGAGCATTTCCCTTCAGTGTCCGTGACAGCTGAGCCAAATAAACCCAAATCTCAGGTTCCAGATTGCAGGCCTGAACTTGCCTCTGTTGTTCAGTTGGTAGCTGTTGCTTGAATCTGCTTTTGGTGTAAACAGGAGCATGCCATAAAGTACCAGGCTGACCTGTGGTTGTATTATCATAGAATCATAGAATGGTTTGGGTTGGAAGGGGTCTTAAAGATCATCTAGTTCCCCCCCCCGCCATGGGCAGGGACACCTCCCACCAGCCCAGGTTGCTCAAAGCCTCATCCAGCCTGGCCTTGAACACCTCCAGGGATGGGGCATCTACAGCTTCCCTGGGCAACCTGGGCCAGTGCCTCACCACCCTCACTGTAAAAATCTTCCTCCTAATATCTAACCTAAATATACCCTCTTTCAGCTTAAAACTGTTACCCCTTGTCCTATTGCTACACTCCTGGAGTATTGAGACTTTAGCTGACAGTTCATCCTGACAAGAGGTCGAAACGTATCTCTTATGCTTGAACCAATGGCCAATTCCTTGGCCAATTTTTGGGGGAGGAAAACCTATTGCAGACCATTGAATCATAGAATCACAGAATGGTTTGGGTTGGAAAGGACCTTAAGGATCGAGTTCCAACCCCCCTACTATGGGCAGGGACACCTTCCACTAGACCAGGTTGCACAAAGCCTCATCCAGCCTGGGCTTGAACCGATACATTCGGAATAGCAGCCATGGCAGTGGCCAGATGTGGTGTGTGCCATGTGTCAAGAAGTGGGGACTGCCAAGCGAGGAGGTCTTCCCACTAGCCCCTAACCAAGGTGTGCTTTTCCCTTGCAGCCCACACGCTCGTCTGCTTTTCATGCTCGGATGCATCCTCCAACTGGGCCTGCCTGACACCTGTCCAGTGCGGGGAGAATGAAAAACACTGTGTGACGACGTATGTCGGAGTGGGATTTGGTAAGTGGTGATGGGACCTACTTCTGCCCCTCTTGGCTGCTCTCTTGAGTCACCTGCTGAGCTGCAGAAAGATTTTCCTTCCTTTGGCTGAAAAAAGGGGAAAGTTCTGCTTAGCAGCGGAGCATTGGACCATCCTATGGGAATTTTCAGAAGGGCCGTGCCACCAGACAAAATCACGTTAAAGCCCACGTGCCTGCAGTGATGCTGGGAGTCTGAAGGGAATTTCGGCGTGGGGGCGGGGAGGTTGCTGATGAAGAAGTGAAAGGCTGGAGGATGCTGCAGAATTCCTCGGAAGGAAGCTCCAGGGTTGCCCTTCCTGCCTTTTTTTTTTTTTTTGCCCTGTGTGTTCAGGTTGTTCATCCCCGAGTCCCACCTTTGCTTCTTGCTCTCCCGTGGGCAAGGTGGGGGTTCCCAGGAAGGGAGATCTGCAGGTTTCCTCCCCAAGTGCCAGGAAAGATCTGGGGAGCTCTGTGCTTTTCCTGGCTGCTGTTCCTAGGGAAGGAGGCTGCTCTGGCGAGTCTCCTGGCACCATTGCAGAGCCCAGCCTGGCTTATTGTGCTCTCTCTTGCAAGAGGGAGGGGGTGTTGCATGCCCGAGTTTCATGGTCAGTAACATGGGTGGTTTGTGCATGCACAAATCGAGGCCGGGAGCTTTTATAAACCTGTCATCTTTGCACAGTGCTAGTGGTTTCCTATTTTCTGCTGTTAAATGTGTGCTGCGCCCCTCTTGCAGCTGATGCTCGAAACGCAGCCTTTGCTTATGAGTGCCTCCCCGGTGCTCTGGATGCCTCGTGCTCCCTGTCTCACTTGAGAAGTCGCAGTATCAGGCTTGAGTGGGATTTTTGAGATTCTTCACTGGGGCCATAGTGGCCAAGCCTGGAAGGGGGTGTACCTCGGGTGTTGCACGGTCTATAGGGCCTGTGTGGGAGGTTGTCATGGGTGTACCTCGGGATGTGTGGGCTGGCTGAGATTAGCACTTCATCTTTGTGCCATCTGTGATGCTTCGGTTATTTCAGTGCTGTTACTTCCTTTGCAGAACAGGTGATCAGAAAGCCGAGAAACATTTTTAAACCTGTCTCATTTCTGCTTTCCTTCCTTTTACCTCCACACCCCCCCCCACCCTACATTCAGGCAGCAAGTCCGGACAGTCCATCTCTAAAGGATGCTCTCCCATTTGCCCCAGCGCCGGCTTTAACCTCGGCATAGCGGCTGCCTCCGTCTACTGCTGCGACTCCTTCCTCTGCAACATCAGCGGTTCCAGCAGCGTGAAAGCCAGCTACGCGGTCCTGGCCTTGGGGATCCTCATTAGCTTCATCTACGTCCTCAGAGCTCGCGAGTGATGGAGCTGGCCGAGGAAGACCCGTCGTCTTCCAACAAGCTGTCGCAGGTCTCATTAGCCAATATCTTCTCTGTCGCTGTCTGCAAGGAGATCTTCTTTTCAATCAAGGTGGTTGTTTCCCAGACTTTACACTCTTCCAGCATCAGCGACCTGGGTAGTTTTTGGCCAAGCCTATCTCCTCCTTCTGTGGACATACCCTGCTACACTCTCACACCTCCTTGGCAAAGGTGGATCGTTTCAGAAGGGTTTCTGCTTTTTTACCTAATACCCTCTCTCCTCATTTCTAAGGTTGGTTAAAACAAGGCTGGGACTCACCGAGAAACGATTAACCCCAGACACCGCCTGGTCAAGCGTTCAGACGTTCCTGCCTCTCACCTCCGCCGAGGTGGCCCAGGCATCGGGAATGCGTGACCTGAAGGGAGACACATTCCTGGTCCCTTGCAGCTGCAGTCTCTTTTTATAAAATAATTTTCGTTTCTTCAAATCCTTGGGCTGACTTTTTTCTGGAAAACAAATGACGTGTAACCTTGTCCCTCCAAGCTCTGTAAGTGCCAGACCTGAATAAACATGCTCCTGTTGTTACCTGAGATGGGATGCGTGCTGTGTGTTTCCTTGCTCCAGACAGAGAGATTAGAAACGCTCTTAGAAGAAACCCAAATATTATGCCCAGCATGAGGACCTCTTACCCTCTCAAGCAGCTTTTGAGTGCTTCATGTCAACATTCCTTCCAGTTCACTTCTGAGCAGCAAGTCCATCTTCTCCCTGTCCTTTTCTAATAAACACTCCTGGACCAGCTTGGTTCACATCTCTCGGGAATCGCCTTTTCCAGGTGTATTTTAGTGAAAAATGCCAGTTATTGGGGTCTGGGTCAACCCCATTACTCCTAAGGGAGCAAGAGCATTGGGAACAAGACCTCTAAAAATTAGCCTGCATATTACAAAGACTTGGTGCCTCGATTTCCCCACTTTGGACTTGTGATGGTGATAGACAATAACATCAACACCTAAATGATCCAGGGCAACAGGTCTGTTTGCAAAACTTAGTGAATTCAGAGGCAAAGATGTCAATACTCAGATCTTTAGGTTCAACCTGCAATCTCTGGATGGTGGTGCACATGGACTGCGGAAGGTGACTTCACCACCAAACCTGCCGCTCCTGCTGTCCCTCAGATCCCAGGATCTTCCCAGGTCTTTTCAAGGCGTTGCTCCTGGAAGTTCTCAGCCATCCCATGAGAGATGTGTCCTCTTGCCATCTCTGCATTGTTCTGGTTTCCTTCCTGCTTTGCTTACCTGTGGACCTGCTAGACACAAACCTGCAAAAATTGAGCCTTAAATTGTCAGGCAAAAGCTGAGAATCTACTGATTGATCAGAGGTGCACTGGGCTTTTATTCTCTTCTAGCAGCAAAAATCAGCATTGACACTCTTTAGCTATGGCCTCCTTGTACGTAGTTCTATTTTGTGTCAAAAAAACAAACAAAAGCGTTTCAAGCTGCACACACTGTTCAATTAAACCTCTGTCCCCACTTAAATGAGTGATAAACAGCTTGTTTTGGAAGATGTGTGCAGATGCATGGAAATATTTGCAACAAAAGTGGTTACATGTTTTTTCCTCCTCCTCCTCATCTTTTAATTAAAATGACACAGATGCTAATGACAGCTTTTGTGACAGTGCACATGGACTGCACTGGTCATTGTGACATGACCTGCAATTACATGGTGAGTTTGGTAAGAACATACCACACTTGCTCCCTTGTCTCCTTGGGTCTGAGATGTACCTTCCTCTGGTTAATGCATCCTCCCTCCTCTCCTGGGACCTCCACTGGGACCACAGGGCTCGAGGTGAGCCGTGAACCTTTCCTATGCACATATAGCACAGGGAAAATTGTGGAAAAAAATAGTAGAAATGGGGTGAATATTTCCTAACTTCCCTGTGCCTCAGCCTTCCTCCTTAAGAGGGTCAGCAGCCTCGTTTGCAGGGTTAATTTGTTCCTTGGGACTTGCTGTGAGTAGATGCTGCAGTCCCTGTGGAATTGGAGGGATGGAGATGCCCTAGGGTGAGACCAAGGCAGCAGCCAGAGTGCTCCATTTCACAAATAATTGGGCTGTAACTTTTCTAGACACCTCGTAATGGGGTATCTTGGTTTTGGACTCAATGACCCTCCCAACGTCTCTGCTGTGAGCAAAGAGCTAATATTAAAAGCCATCAGCATAGCTGTGCCATGCCTTTACAAGGCTCCCGAGGATGCCACACTGGACAATCCCAAGCTACAAGCAGGGTTATGAGACCTGGTTGCCTCCTCCAATGGCCATCTCCTTCCTATCGGTGTTTTGGAGTTTGCTTGTGCCAAGGACTCGGTTATGCAAAGGAGCAAGGGCTGATGGGAAGAGCATTCAGCAGGTTACTTACCCTAAACAAATAACAAGTTTTATTAATGCTATTGCCAGGGGACAGGATCTAAAGGTCAGTTCACATGTGTTCTTGAGCCTATAGATGATGAATAGATTGCATATGGAGAATTTTTTTTTCCTCTTCACTCTTGTTTTGTCTTTCCCTCCTTTTTTGGCAGTTATATCTATATTTGAGAGGCAGGGAGGGTATGACAGCTTGTCAAATGCAAGAAATGTTATTCAACATGTTATTCAATCCCAAGCATCATATGATCAGTTCTTCCAACACTCACAATTTCTATAGAGTTTTTTTTTTTGGCCCCCAAATCCCCAGCACCAGAAATCATATGAGAACCTCAGCTGTTGTAAAGCCCAGGACTGAAAGGCCTAGAAATGTGCAACTGTAGTAATTAAAAAAAATTAAGAAGAAAATAAATAGCAAGAACCCAGCCTTTCCAGAGCATTAAAACTGGTGACTTGTTAAACCAAATGCCTGATTTGGAACTTTAGGGCCAGGGTGGGACAGCCCTTAAGTGCTTTGAATGTATTTATTTGGACTGTGGAGGTAGAGATTGAAATCTCATCAGAAAACTCAGATCTTCACCTTTTTTTGACAAGGCGAGGAGTTATGAGGGGAGGCAGCTTTACTCTGTACATACATAAAATATCCCAGAACAGTTTTCACTGGAAAATGAGAAGAGCTTAAGTCAAATACCTGCCCATTTTGGAGCATGCTAATGAGAAAATGGTTTCTGTGCTTCCATCCTAGAAATGGCTGTATTTCAACAGCAGCTGCTGCCATCTACCACTACACCAATGTTGCAAGGGCTCTCATTTTTGGGTATTGTCTGTACGTGCTCAAAGCTTACTGCGGCACCAGCCGTTTCCACTTAGGCTTGCTGGGTTTGCTGTTTGCAAAAAAAAAGGACTTAAAAATGAAAAAAGTTCTTCCAACTGTTTTTGTGATTTTTTTTTTTCTTTTTTATTTTTTTTTGCAAAAGGGCAAAATTTCTCCTTCTGGAAAACACAGACCTGATATGACTTTCTTGCATAAACGGCCAGAACAAATTAAGGCCGGTTGCTTAATCATTACTCAAAGGATCCACATTGTTACTCAAAGAATGTCCTCGCTTGGTGTTAGTTTTCTGAAGTTATGGGTTATTTGAAATTACTTGCTTACTAGAGACCCTATTTGCAATGAAGGTGGCTGTGGTCCTACCACCCCTTTGGGAAGTCTGGTAGCTGTGCTCTGGCTGTGCCTCCATGCTGAAATGAGGTATAGGCATCCATGCTCCATCGGAAAGGCAGATGTGGTGTACATCTGGATGCTTAGAGGTTTTAAACCCCTATCACAAGCTCCTTGATCCTGTGATCCCAGTGCATTTGCACCCTGAAGATGGGCTGTGCTTTCACCGTCATCGTCTGTGGTGAGGTGCTGTGGGTCTCAACTGTTTGGCATGAAGATGGCTCTGAATCCTTCCTTGATCCTGGAGGAATTATTTTGCCCTTGGAAAGATGCTGTCAGAGATTATCAAACTGGAATGGCGATAGACACACCCAGTTTTGCATTTTTGGTGTGTACATGGTGCACAGGGAAGCAAAGCCTTGGGTTGGTCCTGCCATCTACTGGTGGAGATGTTTTGAAGACCAGATCTCACAAGTCAAGGAGGAACCATTAACACTTGAAATCACATCTAGGAGGACAAGGGCGAGCTACCTTTAACCAGATAACTCAATGCAAAGCAGAGATTCAGAAGCATCAGAGACAAATTCTATCTTTTCATTTGTCCAGCTTTGCTCTGATGGTATAAATTGAGAAATGAAAGGATTAACAGGCTTCCCAGGTCCAATGTTTTCCGAGGGAACACTTTCCAGCCCAAACCCTACTGTTTAATCAAAACTGAAACACTTCATGAAAATATAAGGCCAATAAAGTATTGCAGAAAAAATATTGACACATTTTATTTCAGCCTTGTTGGATGATCTCATTTCACTGAGGTGGTTACACTGCAATGTTGATTTTACTAATACATATATGTGAGATTTGTAATGGTGTATTACTTTCATTGTAACAAAATAAGCAGAACACAGAGCATTGATTCCTTTAAATATGTTAACATAAGTGTAGTGTATGTTACATATTGTTTCTTATACTCAAATAAAAATATATGGAATTAATAAAAAAGGTACACTTGGAAAAAAGATTGTGGATGGTTCTGGAGATATTACAGATATTACTTCTTGCTTTGTGTGAAAATAAAGTGTTTGGATTGTATTCAAAGCCCGGAGCTGGTCAAAAAGGACAGGCATGAGGCACAGCCTATAGACTATAGGGGGGGATAAATCCATACATGCCATCTCAAGGCCATTGGAGTCTCTTCTTGGTGATGGATAAAGAACAGGGATTGTCTTTGCCTTCAATAGTCGTGCTCATAAATATCATTGACTTGCCCATGACCCTACTGGGAGTGGAGATGGGATTTGTTCTTTGAGCCTGCACTCTTTCTTGCTGGAGAGGGCGGCTATTTTGGGTACATAATAGCCCCTGTGTGGGTGTCTATGGGCAGCTGCTCCTCTTCACAAGTTCCTCAGAGCTGCAATGCTGCAGGGGCT